TGTTACTAGTAGCGATGCACTTGTTACTAGTAGCGTCTTGTTACTAGCAGTAAGGCACTTGTTACTAGTAGCGATGCACTTGTTTCTAGTAGCGTCTTGTTACTAGTAGTAAGGCACTTGTTACTACTAGCGTGGCACTTGTTCCTAGTAGCTTCTTGTTAATGGCATGTGTGTTTCTTCCTTCCTTCCTTTCATTCTTTCTTCCTCCTCATTGTTCTTTGTTCTAATAGCGATGGCCTCCACCCTAGTAGCAATGGCCTCCAACCTACTAGCGAAGGCCTCCAACCAAGTAGCAACAAAAATCTTGCCGCAAAGATTCAATTCCTAAGTAATTGTGCCTTCCGCGGTGACTGGTGACTCGGCTTACACGGATGTTCCTTCTCAACTCAAATGCTTAAAACATGGGTAGCAGGATGAGAATCATTTTGGCGGGCTTCTAAACCCTGCTAGACACTGCTAGCCGTAACATCTTCAAGTCGAGGAGCACTGGTCTCATATGCCTCCAACGCTTCACAATGTTGTGTCACGCCGCAGTTGGTGTTCACAACTATGCACTGAGCACTCCACTCTCCAACTTCTGGCGCTTTGCAATCTGGGTGCGAAAGGTGAATCAGTTACTGCTGCACGACTAGTAGATGCCCATACGTGCACATGCCGCTGTGAATGCTTCCCGGAATCCCCGTTCCTTCATGCAGAGCCCTCATGCTAAGTTGACAGTTGCTATCGGCTCATGTGGGTCTGACTTGTCGGCACGACTGAGAAAGTTGCAAAGCAGTCTTTCTGATCTACCTAGAGTGCCATCAGAGTGCCATTAATTTTACAAGGAGAGATTGTAAAGCTAAGGAGTGTCTGGATGCGGTACCCGCACCTCTGCCTGGGCCTGACGAGGTGTCTTTGCACCTGACCGTACCTCACAGTTTCAGCTTCGGAGAGGACGAAAGGACCCAAAGAAAAACACAATGTGAAGTGATGGCCTTCAACCTGATAGGGATGGCCTTGCTCACTAGTAGCTTCTAGCTACTAGTAGTAATGCCTTTGTTACTAGTAGCGATGGCCTCCGACCTACTAGCGATGGCCTCCAACCTAATAGCGGATCCTGATGTGAGAGAGGATTTGAGTGAGGATTTGTTTAAGATCTTTTCAGATTTGTTCCAAATCCCTCGTTCTCCGACGACCAAGGGATGCCATGACTTCCCAGGCCCACCAGCACATCCCCACACCCATCCGCACACGCATTCCACCATTCCCGTCTCATGATTTCACATTTCGTTCCGAACTGAAGCCAAATTGCATGCCCTCCGCACGCAGCAAGGAGAGGGCCTGAGAGTAAAATCAGGCATTGGATCTGGGCCAGTTCACAACATATCACGTTTGTTGAGGCAAAAACCATCGCTGTTAGGCTGGAGGCCATCGCCGCTAGTAGGTTGGAGGCCATTGCTATTAGAAACAAGCCGCCCTTTGAGGTGAAACAGTCAATCCATGTTAATGCGTGATACACTCCTCGTCAGCTTGTATGCTTGACCAGATAAAGTCGGCATCGTCATAACCATGTCAATCTCCAAATACTGAATTGTCGGTTGTCGGCTGTTCCGCATTCGGGCGAACATTAGTAAATCTAAAGGTTTCGCTAACCACGTCTAAGCCGGGGCTCCAACCTTGCGAATTGGGGGAAAGGCTTGGCTCGCGGTGCCTAAATAGCTCAACCTCCAGCCGTGCTTCATCTTTCCCCACCTGTCAGGTCAGGGTTGGTAGGTTTTATGTCAGCTCCTTTCCTCCGCTTCCGCCTCCGCCACGTCCGCCTCTGCCTCGTCCGCCTCCTCTGCACCTCAACCGCAAGTGCAGGATGGCAGTGTTGCCCACCGCACCTCAACTGCGAGCTCCGGCTGGCAGCGTTCCCCGCCGGACCTCAACCGGGAGGGCCACGTGGTAGTGTTCCCGTGGGACCTCAACCGCGAGCGTTGGCTGGCAGTGTTACCCGCCGGACCTCAACCGCGAGTCAGAAGATATGCCAGATAGAAAGCCAGAAACAATGTCCGAAGATATGCAGAAGATGTGCCAGATAGAATGTGACCAGAAAGAATGTCAGAAGATATGCTAGAAAGAATATCAGAAAGCATGTCAGAAGATATGCCCGAAATTTTGGGGATCACTCGAAGTAAAGTAATTGTGTTATTTTTTATGGATCCAACCTTGAGAGCTCCAAAAATCACAGCATTGTAAAAAGCATTCAAAAGCAGTCTTCAAAAAAAGTAACATCAACAAAAAGTGCTTGAGGTCCTACCAGTCAAGTATCAGCACCAATCGAGGATTACAGTATAGAGACTTGACTGGTGAATCGTGAAAAGGGAACCCCGCAAAACCTTGATGAGGACAGTTTCTTGAAGGGACTAGATAAAGCTTTGCGCCCAAAACCTCCAAGTCGGTCTTGGCTTCCCTACAGGGAGGCTATCGCGCTTACGTTAGAGGCCATCGCCATTGGGTTGGAGGCCATCGCTATTAGGTTGGAGGATGTTGGAGGCGATCGCTTTTAACATGTTATCCTTCCACAGCATTCCCTGAAAAGAGGGACTCCAGTCCCTCCCACCTGGCAAGCCCTGTGCCATCGCTTCATGGCTGCTGTTTTCAGGCTGCGGAGACCGCCGCCCGTTGATATTCTCAATTGGCCGCTCAAGGTACCACAATCATGGTTCACTTCTTGTTCAAACAAAAACTCAAACCCTGGCAACTGTGGCAAGTGTGCCCATGTAAGTTCAATAGAAATTAGGGCGATGAGGAGCGGCAAAGCTGCTGCAAAGCAAGGTTGGTGCAGCGAATGTGTTCTCCCATTCCAAACGAACAAGAATACTCAATATCGGCCGAGTATGCCGAGCTACTTGTACCCCGAGGTTCCTTCAATCTTTACACCAAACTCGCAACTTCTGAATGCACTAGGAGCAAGAAGCTATTAGGAACAAGTGCCTTACTAGTAGGAACAAGTGCATCGCTACTAGTAACAAGGACGCTACTAGGGGCTCCTGGCCGTACTACTAGGAACAAGAACGCTACTAGTAACAAGGACGCTCTATCAATCACACCAGAAAGTCTGTCCCCACGAAATGAACTGTGGTTTTCGCGGAAAAACATTGCGTGTCATATGACCTTAGTTCCTGCGGCCGCAACCCCACAACCTCACCATCACACCAAATCCTCTCAACATCGTCATCGTCGTTCTTTCTTCTCGCATGGTCGTCTTGCATGGTTTCTCAGTACCGGCCGTCGCCTGGCTGCGCTCAGAGACACTGAGAACATGGTGACACAGAATAGCACTTAAACCTAAGAGCGATGGGCTCCAACCTACTGGCGATGGCCGCCACACGTGTAGGCGGCTTTCTGGTAGAAGTAGACTCTCGGCGGTTACGCACTTTGATTCCCTGTAATCTCCCAGTTTTCCAGAGATTGTGGAATCTCGTGGTAGGACGCAACCCTCATAAAAGAAAAAACAACAACTATGATACTGAATGCTAAAGATATAAGCAAGATATGGGCTTGTCTGCGGAGATGCAGTACCACGATAGTCGCAGCGCAGCCATGTGTACTGGCAAGCTCATTGTTGAAGAACTCACAAGCAAAACATGCTACTCTCACAAGGTTTGGGCAGGATTGTTTGAAGTTGTCCTACATCGCCGCCTGGAATCTTGGCTTTTCTGCGAGGTTCTTGAATGATTGGCAGTAACAGGCCGTTTCTGTGGATGTAGGTTGAGGTAAGGCACCCTTCTAAACCGGATGGCCTCCAACCTAGTAGGATAGATCCGTTTGGAGAGCAAACTTTCGGGAGCGCCTCATCGCACCACGCCAGCCCAAGCCTTGGTGGCAGGTTTCATAAATCTGGCCGAGTGCGGCAGACTAGTTCACTCAAGAGATGGGTTGGAAACCGCATGAAGTCCTCAAACGATTGCAAATTGAATTTGATATCGTTTGATTGAAATATTGAAAAGATACACGTTCAAACCCCATCGCAGACAAGCCAAACAATCCTACGTCATCTCAAAAAACATGCGAAACAGAACACCAACAACCTGCTACGAGGATGGAAAGCATGGAATAGGAAAGTGATGGAAAGTGAAGGGCATCTCTACTGGGAGCAAGGACGCTACTAGTAGCTCCTTGCCTTACTACTAGGCGCAAGGATGCTACTAGTAGCTCCTGGCCTTACTACTAGGAACATGAAGCTACTAGTAACACAGGGCATCGCTACTAGTAGCAAGGACGCTACTAGGTTGGTCGCAGGAACAATCCCTTGCATGTCCAAGAGCCCGGTTCACACTTGGACCCCATGCCGCTTCGGTGCTGAACTCTGCAATAATCTGCTGACCGGCGAACCAACGCCTGCGAAAAGGAAGAAACGTATTGAGTAAGACAAGAAACCTAGCAATGTCCTCCCTAAGAGCGATGGCCTCCAACCTAGAGCAGTAGAAAGTCTTTAAACTTTCAGCCAACTCTTGGCACGCCTTTGGAAACGCATCAGAAGGAAGCATCACATGATGCCAAGTATCACCCATGGAAAAGACATTGCAACAGGAAAAGCTTCAAATACCAAATAGGTCCAATTGCTCACTTTTGCCTCTCGATGGTCCGTGTGTTTCGGGATCCGCCTGTCCAATGCTCGCTGGCAATTGGCCGCGCTGGTAGCATCCACAAACTTCACCCACACCTCGTTCGAAGTGTAGCCGTTCGATGTTTTCCGTTAGGCGGTGGGGGCGAATGCGTGTAAATACTAAGGGAAGGCTACTAGAAACTACTAGAAACAAAAGGCATCGCTACTAGGAGCAAGGACGCTACTAGTAGCTTCTGGCATTACTACTGGGAACAAGAACGCTACTAGGGGCTCCTGGCCTTGCTACTAGGAGCATGGACTCCTTCCTGCCGCGAACCCCGTCACTTCCAAGGGCCAATTGAAGATTCTGACATGTCACCAGACACAGCCTTCACCCGTCACTCTCACTGGGTGACTGCCAAGGCACGTCTCCTTTGCTGCTGCCCTGATCGGCAAAGACCTTGATCACGGAGCCATATTTGCGGCACTCCTGCAAGAAACGCAACAGCTCTCACACTAAAATGTGTGTTCACATAGCCCAGAACATCAAGGAGCATTCAAGCGTATTCCTCAAAGGGAACAGTCGTTCCTGTACTCAACTGCATGCGAAAAATGGCCATCTCTGCTCTTTGTATGACCGACTTTGTGTGACTTGTTTCTACTAGCAAACATTGTTACTAGTAGCGTGGCACTTGTTACTAGAAGCGATGCCGCCCCTAGTAGCGTCCTTCTTACTACTAGTAAGGCACCTGTTACTACTAGCGAGGCACTTGTTCCTAATAGCTTGGGGTCGTTCCTGCTCGACATCTGCATGGATATCGTTGAAGAACTCCGGGTCGGCCGCCAAGTTCACTTGCGATGGATTGAACATGCCGTGAAGTACCTCAGAAGTCAGCGTCTATCCGTGACACAATCTGTCCACCTCGACATTCAACTCCATATTGTGAGGACAAGTTCCCAAACCAAAGGGCTGAACCGTCTGAGCAACTCCACTTGGTATTTCCCCCAAAAGGCCAATGACTGCTGACCTTTGTGGATTCCTGGTTTGTGAATGATAGCTAAATCCTGAAAGTTCAAAGGGCAGCTTCAACTGTCAACCCCACTTGCAACGTGAGGAAACACATGTATCCGCAAGATCTTGAAGCCCTGCATTTTGAGGAGGATCCAAACCGATGCATCCGCTGCAAAAGCAGTTTTGCCCAAGCTTTGCGAGTTCACAGGAACCACTTTGGGCCCTGTGACTGGCGAACCGACCGACCAGCGGCGGATCGAATGAAGCACAATCTTGACTTGTTACTAATAGCTTCTTGTTACTAGTAGTAAGGCACTTGTTACTAGTAGCGATGCACTTGTTTCTACTAGCTTCTTGTTACTACTAGTAAGGCACTTGATATGAAATCTCCGAGGATTTCCAGAGCGGCTTTTCGCACCTAGGCCGCTTAAGCCATCTTAAGCCCAGTCTTTGGGCTCTTTCAACACCTTCATCAAGGCCTCTTCTGCGCTGCCTTCCTCCACCTTGTGATTGTATTCCTCAACTCGGCGACTCAAACACATGTCAAATATAAACGCCAAAGACCCCTCAAAGAGCCTTTGAACAATTTGGATGCACAAACGGCTTTCAACAGCACACGTCAATTAATGTTGGCGCCTGATTAGTAAATAGGGGCTCCCCCCCCCCACCCCCTCAAACAAACAGGAGGTCCTCTATAATAAACTATCACCAACACAAATCCGGATTCCTGTGAGAATTCCTTCTTGTAATTGATTGTAGTATTCATTTTCCTTTCATAGATTGTATTCGGCTTCCTTTCTCAGGTTCTTTGTAATTATTCTCAGCAATCCTTTTGCTTTGCAGCCTCAGATCTTCAGCTCAAGAGAAGCCCCAAGCTTTCAGCTTCCTCAGCTTCCATGGCTTCCTAAGTAAAGGAAGATTCCATGAGCAATTTTTCCAGTGGAAAAAACTTTTCACAATTGAGGACCCAAAAACAAATTTATTATTGAGGATCAGGTGCCTTCCTGGTCTACTACCTTGAAAATTTGTTTAGGAGCAACGTTTTATAAAGGGTTTAATTGGGGAATTGGTGGTTTTGGTCAGCTGTCAGTTTTGAAGAAACCTAGAGAAAGCTATATCAGCTAATGAATCACAAATCATTGGCCTCAGAAGGAATTCAAACCCTTATTAATTGGGTTTCCAATTTGAAAATTTAGGGCCCAAAAAAACATTAGCATTATAGAGGTACCATTTTTCATACAGGGGGTTCTGAATAAATTTGGAAAAATTTAGCATTATAGAGGACCTATTTACTAATCAGTATCCAACATTAGCAACAAAAGAACAGTCTCTGACTACCCAAGGCCGCAGTCATGGGTGGTCACCATCCCACAACAAGATTCCCCACACAATACTGTGCATGTATCGTGTCACGACGCACTCTGTATGGCTTAGCTTCTGGGCATAAACAATCCTAGCACAGCGTTCAAACAGTGGCACATGCCTTGTCCCAAACTATCCTGATCTCACCGAACATGGCGAGCAAAATGCAAAGAAGTATGGTGTGTGGATGTGTGGTGTAAAAACCTTCTCAGCTTGCCAAGTCTTCAAAGGCAATCTTTGGTGGCGCTGAGACCATGACGCCCTCCACCCGCGGGTTGGCATTTGCCAGACCGAACTTCACTCCACGGTCGTATAAGAGATTGAACTCCAAATATCTCCCGCGCCTCCTCGGTCGAAGGATTTGACTGTCGAGAGAAAACCAAAAGGGCAAAGCAAATGATGAACTGAACCTGCAAGGACCTAGGAGTTGTGACCAGAAAGGAACTAGGGGACACAGGGACCTAGGTGATCTTTCTGTTTCCTGAATCCTTTCTTGTTTCCAATACTTAGCATTGTGTTCAGTCAAGGCTCAGCAGCTGCCAATGCTTCTGCTTCTCAGTGTATGCTTCACCTCGCCTCTTGGTCACGATGGGAAGCCAAGAAGGCATCCAGGACTCCACGACACCCTCCACGAAGCCAAGGCTCTCCTGCGCCAAGAGCTACTAGTGGCGTCCTTGCTCCTAGTAGTAAGGCCAGGAGCCCCCTAGTAGCGTCCTTATGTAACTAACAATGGAAATAATATCCTTTATATAAAATATCAAGAGACATGTTGGAAGTCTTTCGCAAAAAACTTGCCTGCAACATTAGTCAGAGATTGGACTCTTCTCCATTCCCTCCTCATCTACAGGCAGGTCATCAAAGAAAATTCCCCCAGTCCCACGGTGTTCTTGGCGAGCGGGCAAGTAGAAATACTCATCACATGCCTGCTTCATCGAGGTATAGCAGAAGTTGGGGATTCCTTCAAGAGCTGTGTTGCACAAGTTCCTGGCATCCACTGAGAAAGGCCATTGGGTTCTCCATCCCCCCACACAAGTTTAACAGGCTCAGCCAAATGGGCAACAAAAAGCGTTACGTCTCAGGATGCCAAGGCTCTTGTAGACTCCGTGGAAGTATCTGACATCTTCCTCGAAATGAAGGTCCAAAAGGATCCGGACATCCGAGGGTAGCGTCCTTGCTCCTAGTAGCGATGCCCTTTGCTCCTAGTAGCGT